TGGAAATAATTACCAGCCTTCCTCCCTCCATCCCTCTTTCCCTCCCTCCTTCTCTTCTCACACTCATCCATCCCTCTGTCCCTCCCCTTCCCCCTCTCATTCACTAGTTCCTTCTAGGTGAGGACAGAGGGAGAGAGAGGAGAGGAGAAGGGAGAGGAACGAGATGAGGATAGGTGGGGAGGCAGGTCCCTGCTGCTGCTGCTGTTTAAGATTACAGGGTGAGCTGAACTTTGAGATTAGGTTAATCTGCTGGAAATGGGATTGGCCAACGGCCTTTCTTCTGGTTGGTAGGCAAGTAGGCAGGTCAGTACCAAGAGCCATGTGCCATTCCATGTGATACTTGAGCCAATGGCATCAGCGTGTGCTGCGCTGACTGAGGTCATCACAATGCCGTCAGCTCTGCAGGGCTCAAACCAATTGTCACCATGCATGTATACGCGCATGCACCCATGCAGTGCAGCCAACACACACTTACATGGGCCGCTTTTGTGTGTGTGCACATAAGCACAATAGCTTATATCGTATATGCATATACACACAAACCTTCTAGCATCTTTGTCTCCTTACAGTCCGTTATATCCACGTTATATCCAGGCATTGCGGGGATATAGCTCCCTATCACAGCTCGCTCGCTAACCCTTTAGTTGTTTCACAAACCTGTGTTCTTTGTTTCAACAGAGGGGAAAACAAACACATTGTGGAACAGGGATTTGGCACAGCCCAAGTGTGTTGTTGGATTTGGGGCTGTTCAATCACAGCAAGAGCCAGCCAGCGCTGCTTAGGTTTGGGCTTGATCTGCCATCATCGGGAGGGGAAAGAAAGGACTCTTTCATGCGCTATTGCAATTAACAACCCCCATACTGGCATAATAAATCACCAATAAGAGCTCAAAGTGATTATTCTTAAACAGGAATAAAAAAAGAGGAAAAAAGGAGAGATGGATCTGTTCTCTTGTCATTTCCCAACACAGCTTCCCACTTCTCCTCTAATGCTGTTCACATGTCCAGGAAACCGGCCTGGCAGACACTGAGTATAGGAAATCTATCTGCGTGTTTGACTGTTTTATCTGGAGCCAGACTCAGAGTGTACTGTAGACCTGCCAGGACAACACACTTGGACCCCGCTTGGACATCCAGTGATGGTGGATCACTGGATGATCTGTTTTTGCTTTCATCAAGCCATGAGAGCCGAGATGAGCTTAGATGTCTCTTTGAACAATTAGCATGAATTAAGAGGACCTCCCCACTTGTTTGTGTAACAGCTGATCACGCAGTGTAGTACATGTTTTATTACAGGGGGCTTCTGTGAGTTCAGGTATCCCACATGGCAATATGTGTGTGTCTTGAGATTAAATGGAGACATTCAAAACATAAAAAAAAAACATGTCCTCAGTTTGCATCGAAATTGTCACTGTATTTATCTGATTATTATGGGTGTCTGGGTGTCATGCATTGTGAATGTGACAATAATAACTAGCTGTTTTCAATTGGCAATGCTTCTTTTGTTTTACCACTTGTGCTCAGAGGAGGGTTAGCTTTGGTTCCTTGGTCTTTTGCTTTCACAGATATTTGTGGAAGTGTCATTCCCAGCTGAGACGGTTTTCAAGTGAGTCATCAAGACCTTCTTTACCACTCCTCTCTCTATATATATCTCTCTTTATCTGTCTCTTTCTGTCCCCCTCTTCCTGTCTCTTACATACATACACTAAATGACCCATACATAGATTCAACATGATGCAAAAAAATCCTATCTTAGAAATACCCTATGTTCAATGAAAAACTGGATGAAAAAAAAAAAAAGAAAGACAGAAAAAGAGTGAGGGAGACAGAGAGAGAGAGAGAAAAGCCCTCCAGCCTCTTGTAAACATGCTGTAGCTAGAGAGGCTGTGCAACGCTCTCAGTGCCACTCTCTCAACAACGCTAATTATCAACCAAAGACATGCTAATTACATAGAGCTTTATTGCTAATGTAGCAGGCCTCTATGCCAGCCGCCCACACTCTGAGCTCCGCTCCCCTACCTCTGCCTCTCCTCCCACTACACCTTCAGGCACAGCAGAAACAGAGTAAGAGAGATGCATGCATTTCTGTGTACTTCTAAAGGCAAGAGCTTCTCTACAAATCTGAAATTAGATATGTCACATATTAGATGGCATATTTAAAGTTTTATTATTCCTTTGTGGGGGAACCTAGATTTTGTCGTCACCCCTAAATCCAGCCCTTCATCTTGTTCTTGATCTCCGCCTCATCATCCTGCCATCTCAACAGGAAGTCCACAAATTCACTTCAACTCCCCCCCCCCCCCCCCCCCAAACTAAACACGCAATCACCCACCTTCCTGCACCTGTGACGTAGCCTAGCAGCGGCACACAAGGCCCGGCGGGAGACATCCAACTCCCCCCTGCTACCCCCCCCCACACACACACACACACACCCTCCTCCCATCCATGCTAAACGTGCTAGTGTCAGCCCTGTGGCCAATCCCGTTAGCACGCCGCAGCTAAGGCTGAAGGCCCCTTCAGATCGATTTCCCCCACTGTGAGTCGCTCAGAGAATGCGGAGCCTGAGTCCTCCAGGGATCACAGTGTAGGTAGTGCTCCACAGCACTCTCCCCCACTAGGCTCTTTAGCGTCTTCCCCTGACACGGCTGTTTACACGTTAGCCATCCTCTGCTCTATAATGGAGACACAGTAAAAGAGGGAGCTTCAAAGCAGGCAGCTCTCGTCACAGGCACTTGCTGAAACATGTGACGGCTCTCTTCATGGGTTCAGCTGGGGCAGGGTAATACACTGACTGAAGGGTGGCTGAAGGGCTTGGTGCATAAAGGATACCAGTGCTTATAGGCACACTGGGAATATGAGTGGATGCTAAATGGGTTAATGTAAATGATATAATGCATAGAGGATTATTTTTTATCCCTTCTGATATACTTGCCTCAAACTAAACATTGGGCACACAGCGTAGAGGTATATAGCTTTGCCGATTATGTAATGTTTTAGCGTAGCACAACATATTATAACTACGACAAAACTGATTTCATGTTGTTTTTCTTTTTAAAGGATCAGAGCTTAAAAAGTTACAGCCTTGATCACATTAATAAATTGAAAAAAACAGCACTAATAATATGAATTATACATGCTGTATTGCAAAAGAGAATAAGTTGTTATGTTGTGTCTAGTAGATTTATTTTTGCTTCTAAATACTGTCCATGATAATGGACACAGTCCATTCTCTTTGTTTTCATCATTAAGGTTAGCCATATGTCGAGTGCTGCATCACTTGATGTATGGGCTACATTAACACACTACATATTTGACTGCACCAAATGGAAAATGCGATGGAGCAAAAGCAATAATGTCAATAGCAAATGTGTAGTTTGCAATATGTTGCAATACATTTATTTATGCTGTTTTTTTAAAACTATCAAATTTGATATGAAGGGAGTTGTAATTATATACATAGCATAAAGGAAGAAAATATTTTATGGCCACATTTCTCCACAAGTGCAACATATTTGATATCAATGTGTAAATTCAAATGGTTTGTAGTCAGGGGCAGAGTGCCATCTGGAATATGAGTATTCCCGGTGGGTCTGTCCACCCGTGGGCGGGCAACAAGCCCACCAACACCCATATGAAAAGATAAAAAACATGTCCTATGCTGTTTGATCCTGTGTTAGACTGGCCAGCCAGCTCATATAGGTGTGTGTGTGTGTGTGTGTGTGTGTGTGTGTGTGGCAGGAAAATACTTTCATTACATCTCATTGGTCCCCACTTCTCTTTTGTTATATTCAGTCTTTTTAAACCCTGAGCTGATGATGACAAACTTATAGTGTTTTGCATAAATTTTGACCAAGTTGACCTAACAAATTAACATCATGCTGCCATCAGGTGCCGAGCATGCATAAACAATAAAAACAAGGAGGTACTGTACATATGGACACAGCTGAGGTTTTGTGTGACCTCTAAGCTGCAAAAAAAAAAAAAAACTGTATCTGTCTTACCACATATACTGCAAAACTTAATTCTAAAATTTCTAAAACTATGTCTAATAATTGTTCCACTTGTGTTAATATTGTGTCTGAATCATGAAATATATATAAAAAAACAGGCAAACATTAATGATATGTGCACAGCATCTAGAATGTTCAATATGATGTAATATGGATTTGCATATTTAACAAGCAAAGAGAGAATACTTAATATACAGTGACATTTTTCATACATTGGATACCATTTATTCCTTCAAATTTACTTTGTGTCACAGGTGCAGTTTAATCAGCAAGCAGCAGCTTGGCGTGAGTGTAAATGTAGGTGCGCAAGAGAAAGGGATAGACTCTGCATGAATGCGTGCATGTCTGTGTGTGTGGCCCACCAGGTTTGTCAGAGCTCCAGTGTGAATGTTACATAACAGGTTCATGTTGAGAGCTTAAGGATCCTGGAGGGTGCCAGCGTCATTTCCTGCTTTATCTACCTGCCTACTGGCTGGCCTGACAGCGCTGTTTAACATCGCCTTGAGCCACACTAGCGACATGTGTCCAAAGCAAGTCAGATCAACATCCTCCTCTAAGAGGCACATCAATGGTGACAAGACACCAAAGGGCAGAGGCTGGTGATTACACACCACAGGGGACAGTCTGAAAGGTCCAAATCAATGTAGGCTACCTCTTTTATATTACAAAGTACACACAACACAATTTAATAAACATGTTTTCATGAAGCTAATGACATTCGGTGAGTCTTAAAATACTTTTTAGTTTTCTAAAAGTGACCTTGTGGAAGACCAACAAACTATGAGGGCAATTATTTCATACACCATGCTAGGTGTGAAGACCAAAAGAGAGAAGTAAGGGTTGCTGAATGAGTCACCAATGCTGTGAGCATCTGTCTACTTGTGCGTTTCTGTGTGTTTGCATGAGTGTTCGTGTTGCTGTGCATGCATGTGTGCTCCAGTGCATCTGTGTGCGCATGCATGTGTGCCGTTTGTGTTTTCTCGTAACTTACCTCCACAATATCGGAGTTGGTCCTGCTCTCATGGGGCTCGTTGTACTCGGTGTATTTAAGCAGGACCTTGTCCATGTCTGTGCTGGCATACTGGAACAGCTTGTTGGTGCTGTTGAAGATGATCAGGGCAATCTCACAGTCACACAGCACACTCAGCTCATACGCCTTCTTCATCAGGCCAAACTTTCGCTTTGTAAATGTCACCTAGGAAAAAGAAACAAAAAATAGCGGATAAAGATTAGCAGAGGTAATAAATGAGATTTATGTTCACACATGAATTTTCAGTAGCACCCTTATAATCAAATCATCCTGATTGACCTGAGTTGTGGTAATCATTTAACTACAACATAAAAATCCCTCACCCTAGTCTAACTCACTCTGTACTGAGGGAAATAAATAGAAATCTGACATAATAACTTTTCCTCTTTAAAATGAGCAATTCTCAGGAAAACAGTATTAAAGGAAAGTGATGTCTGCTGAAGGTTCAACACCAGCTGACTGTAACAGTCCCTCCACTATACCAGGAAAAAAAAAAAAAAAAAAAAAAAAAAGAAGCTGGGCTTGCATTTAAGGAACTGAAAATACTCTGTCTCAGACAGATAACGGTAAAGAAGATCAGTTATTGCTTGTACATCAAAGCGTGCAGAAGTTCATCATGGGACATATGTCAGGTTAAATCGTCCCTTTCAAATGGTTTGCACAACAGAAATGCACATACCTATAACTATTTTAATCTTTAAAAAAACTGCTGAGACATACACATTTCTCATAGTGATATTAACCCACATTGTTCTGCTGCCCAATTAACTGCCTCTCATAGTGAACAACAAGCTATTGATATAAATAACGGATGGGTTCCCTGACTGTGCTTCAAGCTGTTTGTGAGCGCTCAAATAGTGACAACGAGCTCAACATAAACCACAAAAAGTGTCCCCTGTAATGTGGCCTTTTTTTTCTCTCATTCTCTCTCTCTGTGTTTGGTGCAAGTGAGGCCCAAGACCTTTAATAAGACAGGCATACAAGTGCCCACATTGTCAAAATAGAACAGCCTCTATTCCTCTATTGTTTGGATCAAAACTAGAGCAGTGAAAGTGAGTTAATTCCAGTGAGCTGCACCTGGTTTCTTTTCCAAGCCATGTGTGCAAGCTCTTTGGCTGTATGGGAAAAAAAGAGAAAATGTGCCTCTGCCAGCTTCCCTCTCTAAGCAACACTGCTTTTTTTTCTTTCTTTTTTTTTTGAAATGTATTTTATTTTTGTTTGTGACTGTGAGTATTATGTACATTGGAGATCTGTACTGACAAACCTTTTTACCAAGAGGAAATACTGCCAGAACTGTGCCCAGCTGGTAGCTAATGATCTCAGTTTGTTGATTAACTGCATGTTTGTCTATTCTCTTCTGACACTTAAGTGGGCCAAAAACTACAGAATGAAAACTCTTTACTCTCAGCTCGACATGCACTGAATGCAATGATAAAGACAATAACTGTAGGCTATATGGACCGTTACAAACAAGAGATCTCTGTGTGTAGTAGATATAATGCATGAATAGATTTGTAGCATAAATCTATCATGCATTGCCCTTCACATTTTCTCTTTACAACTTCAAAACCTGAAAGAGGAGCTCGGGCTGAATGGATATTGATAGATAGTTTTGGATTACCTGAAATCATATCTTCCAGGATGCACCAGGGAAACTGAATATCATCAAACTATGCCTCACCTCCACCCTGTCTTTCTCTCTGTCGCCCTCTCGACTAAGAGTGCGTAAAACCTTGCACGAACTGCAATATCCTGGACCAGCCACCCCCCCTAAAAGTTTTAGAGTGATGTCACTGCAACATGCCAATCTGTCAGACAACTGAGGCTGAAACAAGAGACCCGTACGTAGTTCTAACTCCTGAAAACCCGGTGTGTGCAATGTCAGGTTCTGTACCACGGCACAAACACTCATCTGATTCACCGACTGCATAAGGAGAAAAAGCTCCCCTGGGCTCTAAATACCATGCTGACATTTACACTGTGAAACTGAAATGTGAAAAAAAACAAGCCTTATTCTTAACACTGTAAGATCAAAAGGCATCTTGTGACAATAAGATTAATTGTCATATCCGACCCACTCTGAGGTGTACCGCCCAAAACTGAAACGTAAGCACCTTAAAGGGGGTCTGCTAGCCGTACAGCAGCAGAGCTACAGTACAAGTCGTATATGAGCAAGTATGTAAGATGACAGGACTGTAGGACATAAGGTCAAAGCAAACTATTCAGGAACAGGACATGTGGAGTGTTGTCTTCCCCTGGTGTTTTGATGCAAGGGGCACCAGGGGCAGACGCAGGACACAGCTAGCTCCCGGCCCAGCTCCGTTATCACCCACTCACTCAGTCACACACTCTGCTGGGGCCATTAATGTTTCAGAAGGTGGCACGTGGCACACACACTGGGTTGGCTGTGAGTCCCAGAGGTCCACATGCTGGCTCAGATCACTCACGTATTAGTGGACCACTCGCAAACAACCCCACACACACACACACGCACACACACACACACACACACACACACACACAAACAAACAGTGCAGTGTAAGGTAATAAGCAACTTTTAAGATGAAGAAGAAGAAGAGTCCTTTATGGGCCAAATATGTTTTTACACAGAAAAGTTTGACCTCTGCACTTTACCCATCTGTGAGCAGTGAACACACACACACACACACACACACACACACACACACACACACACACACCTGGAGCAGTAGGCAGCCACAGCTGCAGCACCCAGGAAGCAGTTGGGGGTGATGGGGGGGTGGGGGAATGGATCTTGCTCACATTTTCTCATGCCGGTCCAGGGAATTAAACCAGCGACCGTTTCATTACACTCATCCTCTCAAAATGTCCAAATAAAAGGAGCAGAATCCAATCAAAGTTGCCTTGAGCCTCACACTTTCAAAGAGGATCTGTGTATGCATTTTCCCACATATTATAATTCACACATAGACTGACTTCAAGAACACCACCGGCAGAGAATGAGTGTTATTACAAAAAGCCTTAACTGACCAAACAATAACACCTACATAAATATCACACTGCACCCCCACATCTCAATCTGACACGTACAACCTGCTACCTCCAAATCGCATATATTACAAATGCTACGCACACACATCCATAAATACACAGGAACATATATACAGTACATGCCTGCTTGAACAACTACATACATTTAAAAGACAGTTGGCTTGTACATAGATGCTAACTTGATGGTGAAAACATGATGTGGGATGTGCTAATTTGTACTGTGTCTCAGCTATGCAGGTCTTATGTGCAGTATTCAATTTCACTGATCGAGGCGACTCTGTAGTGACTTCATGGCCTCACATGATGCCATCATGTGACCCTTTCAGCCCATCAACATTCACGCTGGTGATGTCACCACTGGCCTTTCCTGTGTAAGCTCAAAACAGCTCTCTCGGCCCACACAGAGAGCTGTAAACTAAAACTGGTGCGCTTTTGAGGAGATACTGCACTGCACTCTGAGTGGGTAAAAACAGATGCTATGAATGGTACACGTGATCTAAAAACATAGAATATCTGAATAGAAAAACACGAATGATCAGGAAAGAGAAAGTTTCTCGTTACTGAAAAGCTTATAGTTTCTAATTTTAATTTGTTCAAGCACCTACGGTGTAATTGTGATGTTTGTGTATAGCTGCTGGATTAAATTGAACAATACCAAATTGTTTCTCACTGAGTGAGGCCCTGTCCTTGTTGTTAAACCAAAGAAACCCACTGTAAACCACATATGTCAGTGTGGGTACACTCTTTCTTTCTTTGGTCAGCGGGTGCTGTTAGACACACAGAGAGCATGAGAGCACACACACACACATAGACACTTTTTTTGACCATTTTTGGTAGTTATTGAGGTAAAGACTAAATCGTGGTATAATGGGACACTTAAACTCTCAAACTATCATTTTATGCCTCTAGAACAGTGTATGAATTTTTGTTCTGCATCTACTACAAAAAAAAAAAAATAATCTAAAAAATATTGGCCTGAGTACCTCAGTCTCCTTGAATATTTGTGCATAGAAATGTCTATTAAAACCAAATTTTACAACAAAAACTTAACCTTCTAAGAAATTACTCAATTATGGAAAAGCTCATGGCCATAATAAGTAAGCAACATTTGTGATTCTTTCTTCAACTCTGTGAAGGAGAACAAAATACCCTTCCATAACCCCTGCGGGCATGTTATCTAGTACAATTCTCAATTACTTTGGCACATAATGAGCACTAACTCATAGTGAGCATACTGTAGACTCATAGTGACACACAAGCCTGACTTGTTCACCCCTATCCTCCTCCACAACCCCATCCCAAGAGAGATTCAGACACATGCACACACCCCTGTAAACACCTCAGCATGTCACCATCACGTCCCCTTTCAGCGCCTCTTTTTCTCTTTTGAAAAATTTTCATTTTAATTCCTTTTTGCTTTTCTTACATCTTTCACTCGTTATCTTCATTCTACAAATGTATGTTTGGGTATTTATATTAAATTATATGTATGCTGCCACTGGAAAATGGCCAATAAAAGAAAGAAATAATTTCTAAAAATGAGATAATCACTTCTGCGCTACACAATTGACCTGTCACATTTCCTCCAGCAGAAAAGGAGAAAAACGCCCAGGATAAACAGAGGGACGAGAAGAAAGGAGGGATAGTGGCTGATTCTCTGCCACATGGGTGAGAGGGGAGAGAGAAGGAGGGGAGGGAGGAGGAGGACGAGGAGGAGGAGGAGGAGGAGGGAGAAGAGAGGGGGCGGACGCACAGGAAGCACATTTGTATGCATTTCCTCTCATAACAGGAAGAGGCCAGTGGCTTCCCCTTCACAATGGCTTCGCTTCTGCTTCCCACCTCCTGCCTGCTTCCCTGGGGGAGGAGGAGGTGGAGGAAGAGGAGGAGTGGAGAGACAGGCACCAAAAACTGCTGGTTAGCAAACCAAACATGGCCGCGCATGCAGGGACACACACACACACACATACACACATACACACACACACACACACACACACAAGCGCACACGCACACACACACACACACACACACACACACACACGCGTGCACGCACTCACACACACACACACACACACACACACACATACACACACACACATACACATAGATGTCAGTCAGCTATGGAGCTGCACAATTTGTCTTGAGACAAACACTTATCCCATTGTCAGGGGCCAAGCAGGAAGACACGGGCTTACGCAAAAGGAATAAGAGGAGCCCAAGACCTGGGCCTGAACTCTGCCTCACAGCCAAAGAAGCTGTTAAGAGGGGTATTACGACAAAAGAGGCTTTGTCCTGCCTCTAATATATGCTATGCTCTTCTCTCTCCTCAAAACCCCACTTATCATCCTTTTTCAGTGTGCCTTCATTATACAGTAGGAACAGGAGGCAGCAGACACCAAACATTTCTTCATTCAGTGTCTAAATCAAAAGTGTCCACTTTGAGTAGATAAAAGCTTATCTGTGAAACTGATGGAGGGCTGTCTTAATTATGCCAATTTTAGTTATAGCTGCATGTCTTAAAATACGTACTAGTTTAGATTGTTGTTCTTACCAGATCTGGTAATTACGTTTCAGCACAGCACTGAAATGGCTGGCTTTGCTCCTTCTCTGTATGTTCCTGTTTATGCTGAAAACCGCAACTGGAAAAGGATATGCCCGCTGACAAAAGAAAGTGGATGTTACATCGCAAGGCCCAAGTTAGTGGCCGGAATGACAAAAATAACTTTGTTGTCATTCATTTGAGGTGGATAACTTTGGTCGTGGCACCAAGGGCCATTTTTCACTAAAAAAGAAAAAAAAAAAGAGAGATAGATATAAAGATACTTTTACTCTTAAAAGGACCTCATTGGTTTAAATTGATTTTCACATAGATTGTATGTCCCCACACATCTAATTGTTGTAGTGATTTCTGCTGCAAGAAGACCCCATTAACCCCAGTTTTCACTAAATGAAGTCTTCTTATGATGAGCACAGCTCAAAATTTGCTTCTACCTGGAGAGAAAAATGGAAAGAAGGTAGAAACATGAAGAAGAAGAGCCTGAGCCAGTCCCTCGAAGTCATTTTTTAGTAAGTAAAAAAAAAAAAAGGTAAAACTGTTAAACACATTTTTATAATCAGATAATTGCACATATTTTTGTATTCAAAATTTCTCACATAAATTCTCATTTTAAAAATATTTAAAATGCACATACGTTTAGTTTAGCGATTAAAAGACCAAAATAATGAGCCCTATAGTGAACAAAGGAAAGAAATGAGAAGAAGCTCGAAAAGACTTTCTAGTGAGGGGGGGGGGGATTAGAGTGAGGTGAGAGAGCAAAATGAACCATGTGAAGAACATGTGAATGAGAAACAAAACAAGGGACAAGTAGAGAAGGCAAAAGAGAATAAAAATACTGCCGAGGGAAGGTGTGAGCTTAGTGAGCCCTTTTCAGGTGAGGTCTCGCAGCGCTGAACATATGACAGAGAGGAGTGCCACTCGCTGTGGTAAAAGAAGGAGATGGTAGAAGGTGGGAAACAGGGAATCAGAGGAGGGGTGCAGGGGTGAGGAGCTACCCTGTGGGCCTCATTATTTTCCTGCTGTTAATTTCACTCGCACATTTTCTCACCCCAGTGCTGTTGATTGGAGAGAAGAATGCTTTGTCGTAGAAACAAAAAGACCCCTTATTTCAGCTGCAGCGCTGCAGTTAAAATGGTGAGGGAAGCGAGCAGACATATGCAGGAAGACATAAAAACACGCATCTTTTTTTTTTTATCTTCTTCCAGCCAAGTATGTGTTAGTGTGACTGTTGTTTGTGGGAGTTGGGAAATCCTGTTGTTTTACTTCCTGTCACTGATGACCTGATGCATGTTTAACCTTTGGCCCTGGGTCTCCTCCCCCTTGGAACCCACATGTCCCACACATACACACAGACTCACACAAACAAGTCATCCTAAATTAAGCCCACTGAGTGTACTGGCTGGAGAGGTAACACTAATTAGAGCCAATTGCAGTAAATTAGTCGATCCCCAAGACCGACTCCAGAGAGATAGATGTGCTTTAGATGTGTTTACAAGCATGTATTTGTCCATGCTGCGTAAACAGGACACTAAATGCACCATCTAAGTATTTGTCTGAGTGTATAATCTGCTATGTCTCAAATCTATGTATGAACACACACACCTGTGCGTGCATCTTGTACTGTAATGTAGGTGTGCGTGCCTATCTATCTGTGCTTGCACGTGTGTGTGTGTGTGTGTGTGTGTGTGTGCGTGCAAGTTGGGGCAAGAGAGTCTGCTCTCTGTGTGCAGCCCATGAGTTTATGGCACAGGGGGCTCTTTCATGTGCCCGAGGCTGGGAGAGGGTCTGAGTGGTCGGGGGGCTTGGAGCCAGGGCTCACACACTGCTGCCCACTGTCCAGAGCTCCGGGCAGCCAGTCAACGCCAGGGAGGCCTGGTCCTTCTGCCCCTGCTCTGGGGAAGTGTTTCAGGGCCTGGGGGTGGCAGCCCAAAGTGGCCGCCCAGAGAGAGCCAGGCCCTGTGCCCACTATGATGCCGCCGCTGCAGGGAGGGCAGGGGTGGGGAGGCAGTGCAAACCTGTAGGTGGCAAGGTAGCGTTGACAGCCACACAGAGTGGTGCCACTCCAAAGAGGGCTGCAGTATGAAGTGTGTGTGTAAACTCAGGGGAAATGTTACAATAGTTTTATATGGTTATTTTCGAATGAAATAGGTCCTCTATTATACAGCTTTCTGAGCTGTTACTATATAGATAAATAGATATTCATATTGTATCAATCAAATGTAAGTATCACTATATATTTTGTACAAATCATGAAAACAATATCCATCTGTTAAACACAGAGGACCACAGATGAGCTTTAAGAAGACAGCAAAACTTTTGAGACATAAAACAGTAAAAGTATGTAAAGAATTTGAGGTTGAAAGAAACACTATACAAACTCCTCTGGTGTTTATTTGGCTTGGGCTCTGGGACATTTCCTCAAAAAGGAAGTGAAAATATGCAAAGCCAAAGCTTCCGTTTTTTTTTTTTTTTTCTTTTAAGAAGAAATTTTAAGTTTGCTGTGTCTGTCTGTGTCTCTGTCTTGTGATGTCCGCTTCTACAAAATGCGGTGATGTCATTTATTTAGGCCCTAGGTTGAATGACACTGAAGGCCATGTGGTGTTTTCCACATGACTTGATGACATCATATCCAACGGGATAGTTATTAGATAAAAAAAAAAAAAAAACAACTAAATAAGTAATCTATCATTTAAGAGATCAAAACAACAAAATCCAGTGATACATTGATTTTCCTTTCCCTGAACCCTTTCTCTCTCCTCCCACTCCTCGCCTCCCTCCTCCTCTCCCTGTAAGTAAAGCCCGGATATCTCAGGCATCGATTCCCCTCAGGTGTCCTTCCTGTCTCCCTCTTTCCCTCCTTATCCTCAGGAGCCGGAGTGCTTGGTGCAACTGGCGGGCCCAGTCTAAGGTGGGATGAGAGAGAAGGGCTGAGATAACAGTAAGGAGGAAGTGTGGGTGCTGCTGCAACACGATAGCTTCAGTCCTCATCTAAAACTCTGTGACCTCCTCCTTGCTCTTGCTCCGGCTCTCTGTCTTTCTGCCTGTCTCGCTTTCAATAACAAAATACATGGTTTAGACTATGACCACACACTGTCACACACCCTCGCCGCTACATCTGTGACTTTGAAGGCACCATGTGTCTAAGGTGAGCCCGCCGTGTGTCAGTAAAATCCTGTAATTACTGGAAGTTTCTTCTTTATCTCAGGTGCCCTCGCTTTCTCACTCCCTTCTCAGTATTCTCTTGTTACTTGGCATCACATTCATTGAGATCTGTCAGGACAGCGGTCAAAATCTGCCTCAATTACTCCTCCAGTATGGCCCAATCGATTCCGGGAGCCTCTTTATGTCACTTTACTCTGGCCACAAATGACTGTGTTTGATAAAGCGCGCTTTGAGAAATAGTTGCGGAGCGTTACTGTGGATGTCAGACGAGGCAAAAGCAATGAAGCGCGCCTGTGTTCAGACAAGGTGTGTGTGCCTGCGTGTGTTTGACCTGTGATCCAGGGGCCACATTTACAGCGTATGGATCCAATTGGGCTGCCAGGAAGCTGACAAAGTGTCAGTGGTCAGTTGTGCCACAGGAAGTGATCGATTGTGGGCCTCGGGGGCAGTGAGAGAGCTCTGTCTCTATCTATTTCCTGCCACAGAGCGTAGTGTCTGCTTGAATCACGCCGTCCACAATTTATTATGTCTTTCTCAAGTACTGCCAGCTGTTGTTCAAAAGTGTTTTGCAAGAATTCCTTTATTGTTCGGTAGCTGTATTTTTCTTTCAAATTACAGAGTCACTGATTTAAAGAGTAACTTTTGTGCTAGGCAGAGGAAAGCTACAGCAGTTAGTGATTTAGCTCAAGAAATATACTGCTTCATTGTTTGTTTCATCTCCACCCTGTTGGCCCAGGCCAGTGTGTCACTTCAGATCATCCCATCTCTGTTTGGTTGTTTGTTTATATTTTCTCCCACCTTGCTTCTCCAGTGCTACCACCCTCTGCCCGGTAATATTCCACTGCGCAGTGAGCTAAACCGGGTGGCATGGTGTGAGAGGTTGGGTGTGTGAAGGGTGCTTCAGCTGTGTGGAGTGCCCCCCCCCCCCCCCCCCCGATTGGGCACTGATATGCAGAATTGATTTTGGAGATTTAAAAATGCAATTACGTTTTATGAAACATGGTCCTGCTATCCTCACACTTGTTTGTTAGATTGAGGAGAAACAAACCCGCCATTATGAGCCAATGGAACTCTTCCACCCAAAGCAATAACTGAGCTTTCCCCGCACACACTCCTCTGTCCCCCAGTTCACATATTGCCCGGATTCCCAGAAGACCTTCATTGTTGAGGGCTAGGTGGGGTGTAGGGTGTTTCTCCTTCCTCCCACCTCCAACCCCCCCTCTCTCCCACCCTAGTACTCATCCATCCTCCCATCCCCCAGGGACTTACCTGTCTGTTGCGTTCATCCATAATCCGCGTGATCTGAATCTTTTTCCTCCCCATCGTCCCCGTCTCTTTCTTTCTCTCCTCTTTCTAAAGAACTTTATGCTTTCTTTTCTCTCCTCTTTCGTCTTCTTTCTCTTCTTCTTTCCCTTCACTCTTCTGCTCTTCCTTTATCTGTCTCTTTTTTTCTGCTTTCTATTTGTTCCAATCAACTCAAAGATTCCAGCATCCGTACCTGCAAGAAAGTAAAGGGGGGAGGGGGAGGAGAGGATGAGCATTAAATGAAATGAAATATGGCAAAATACTGAGAGAAAAAATTATAAAAGTGGCATCATGGCAGCCACAAGGGAGGGTGAAGAAAGACAAAGAATCTGTCAACAATGTTGTGAGAACCGCTGTGTTTTTCACTGTCGATATCATGCAAATCAGTTTTTGCATTTTTTTCCCAGGCACCGACTATGAGAGGAGACAGCGCTGTCAGGATCTCGCCTCGTTCACAGAGAGTTTGACAGTGTTTTGGAAGTGCCGCTAACTTAAACGCTCTAATCACCAACACTGTAACATTACCTCCAGACTGAGAAATACATTTTGTTTCTTCCCACGAAACTGCACTGTATTGACAGTGGAGCTGCCAGACACAGCTTTTTCTACTCTATCTGCAGCTCATCTCCAAAATGGCAGGCGTGAGTCGCAGGATAGAATACAGATGTAAAACCGAGCTCAGTCTCGCCACGTTCTGGCAAAACAAAGCCAAAAGAAAAAGAAGAAGAAAAGAAAAAAAAAATGCCAAGAGTGAGCTTTTGAAACATAGTAAGAGGACGTTTCTTAGAGACAGAAATCAAATAAAATTCCAGCATGAACTTAATCCAGCTGAAGATACTGCATGTCAGTGAGTGCATCTGAGGAGATTCTGAACGAATGCACTTGTGCTTGTGCATGAACAGTTTAGTGTGTGCGTGTGTGTGTGTGTGTGTGTGTGTGTGTGTGTGTGTGTACCTGTGTTTCATGAGTGGAGGCCAGCAGCTGATGAGCTGGACTGCATGTGCGAAGACGAAAGCTTGCGCTCCAAAAAGTTTGCGTGAGTGAGCGCCTGTGTGTCCATGTGTGTGTATGTGTGTGTGCATGTGTGTGTTGTGTGTGTGTGTGTGTGTGTGTGTGTGTGTGTGTGTGCGTGTGTGTGTGTGTTCGTGTGTGAGCTTGGCTAAGCCAGAGCTCCGGTGCATCTCTCCAGAGTGCTAAAGTAGGCCAACCCAATCTATCTCAGGGAGGAGCAGAAGAACTGTTGTTGTGTTTTCTTTTGACAGTAGAGGTGATAACGTCCCTCGTTATGCAAATGAGCATCCCATTATTTAAGCTCAGTGCAATGCAGGGGAGCTGTCAGCGCCGTCACATAAAAAAAATCTTCCATCTACCCTGCCTTTTTTTTCTCTACTTTCCCCTTCTTCTCTCTTCTCTCCTTTCTGAACCAGATTTCCGGCACCTGGCAGCACAAGCATCAGACATTGATGTGGAAGACGACACCGCATCACCAAAAGACATGTCAGTCTCAGTCTCTCTCTCTATCACTCTCTCTCTTCTCTCATACACCCTTGCTCTCTTCCTCGCTCTCTCATATTCTCTCCTTTGCGCGCTCCCACACACATACATGCACATTGTAATGCACTTCCTTTCCCCTTCTTTCTGTTTTTTTTTTTCTTCCCTAACCTGAATCCATGTATTTATTGAGTAACATGCATGAGAAAGCACAAGAAAGCTCTAAACCCCTGAGGTGAGTGCAGCACATTTCTATGCACTTGACCTCTTTGTGCTAGAGAGTAGGACATTGATAATGAAAGTGCGTAATAGGGACATCCAGGCATACTTGTAATAGTGACAGACCAAGGCCTGTAGCAGTAGTGCAGAACTGTAGATTTGCGCCAGATAACTCATTTTGAGCACTACTTACTCAAAATCTGTACTACAGTACTGTTAAGTTTAATCAGTGCTACAATTAGTGTGCCTTCCGAATCCGTACGTGAAACACACATTTTTTAAACATATTTAGTTTTCAAGAAATAACGTCACATTGATTATTATGTATTTCATGAGATTCTCTGCCGAAAACTTCCATCGCACAAAAATGTAAAACAAAGTGACACAATACATTTTGAACAATGATGAAAATGCATGACAAAAAACTTCCTGAGTTGATGGTTTGGAATACGCCCACTTATGGAAGAAATGAGATACGAACATAAATGCATCATTTGGCAGTTAGGACAGCAGCCGGACTGCACCATCATAATAATAACAAGATCTAAAATAACTCTGTGGCAGCTCTGAAGAGGCTATCCAAAACATTTTAGCATTGCTCTGCGCAAACACACCCATCCATAGACAGAAAAACAAAGAGCTGCCCTCTGGAAGAAAACAAAGAGGGATGTTGTCAGACAAACTAGGATTACAAGCCAACACTAAGGCGCTTGGCACAAGACAGCCAGACAAGGATATCAATCAAGCCAGCGCACCTCAATCACAGGCTGACAGCATCATCCCCTCCCAGTCTTTGTGCTCAACACTACCCAGCCCAGGCATCGCTCCAAACAAGGAGGCGTTACCTCCGTGATCCCTGCCTCCTGGCCTCCACCTCCTCCTCATTCCTCCCACAGCTCACTGAGCAGAACTGAACCTCTCAATGTCAACACCCGCTGGGGCAACACCTTAGGCCTTACGTAACATTAACGCTAAGACTAAGCCCGTGTCCTGAACATTTAATCCCTGCATTTGGCTCCCAGCACCAGCCAGCGCTCCCTGAGGTGAGGATCTGCTGCCGCTTAGCCCCGTGCCTCCCCGCCTCAGCACCACCCCCAACCCCCCCACCCCCTCCGATCCCTTCTCACTCTTGCCTCCTCTACCTC